TGAGGTGATTTGGTAAAATGCTATGCCCAAGATTACTATCCGAGTGCCGGCGGTGGGGTGGTTCAAATAGCCTCGGCTATCACCTCATTATGTCCGGTCGTGATGGTCAAGTGGATTAAGGCGTCTTGTACATACCAGTTGCGTTGCTTCTGGGAGTATGGGTTCGAGTCACTTCTGGGGTGTGAGTTTTCAGTTGCATAATGTCCTGGGGACCATTCAGGCTTGTTCGCATTTGTGTTCCTCACGCGTGCCCCAAAGAATGAGGTGATTTGGTAAAATGCTATGCCCAAGATTACTATCCGAGTGCCGGCGGTGGGGTGGTTCAAATAGCCTCGGCTATCACCTCATTATGTCCGGTCGTGATGGTCAAGTGGATTAAGGCGTCTTGTACATACCAGTTGCGTTGCTTCTGGGAGTATGGGTTCGAGTCACTTCTGGGGTGTGAGTTTTCAGTTGCATAATGTCCTGGGGACCATTCAGGCTTGTTCGCATTTGTGTTCCTCACGCGTGCCCCAAAGAATGAGGTGATTTGGTAAAATGCTATGCCCAAGATTACTATCCGAGTGCCGGCGGTGGGGTGGTTCAAATAGCCTCGGCTATCACCTCATTATGTCCGGTCGTGATGGTCAAGTGGATTAAGGCGTCTTGTACATACCAGTTGCGTTGCTTCTGGGAGTATGGGTTCGAGTCACTTCTGGGGTGTGAGTTTTCAGTTGCATAATGTCCTGGGGACCATTCAGGCTTGTTCGCATTTGTGTTCCTCACGCGTGCCCCAAAGAATGAGGTGATTTGGTAAAATGCTATGCCCAAGATTACTATCCGAGTGCCGGCGGTGGGGTGGTTCAAATAGCCTCGGCTATCACCTCATTATGTCCGGTCGTGATGGTCAAGTGGATTAAGGCGTCTTGTACATACCAGTTGCGTTGCTTCTGGGAGTATGGGTTCGAGTTTCTTCTGGGGTGTGAGTTTTCAGTTGCATAATGTCCTGGGGACCATTCAGGCTTGTTCGCATATATATATATTTATTTATTTATTTATATCTTACCGCCTTTTTTATTATGTTTTGTTTTGTTTATATGTATGTAAAGGTTGGAAATTATACATTTGTGAATAAAAAGGAAGATTAAAAGTATATATATTTATTATACATAACTAGCTGTACCTGGCCATGCGTTGCTGTGGCTGAGCAACGCATGTGCGTTGCTGAGCCACATCAACCTTCTCTTATCCCCCAATCTTCCCCTCCATTCCCCCCTCCCCAATCCCCATGATATTTATAAATAAAAATGTAAATGTTCGTTTGTTCAAAATCGCTAATCTCTGAAAGTTCCTCACCGATTGCTTTCAAATTTTCAAACAACGTTCCATTTGCATCCGAGCGGGTTTTTATATACATACTATATAGATGTCACTTCTATGATGGGGAAACACAAGCTTTTTTCTAAAAGCTGTGTTTTTCGTGTGTTTTTCATGTGAGGGAAATCTTCAAAACCTCTTTACCAATTGCTTTGAAATTTTGACACAAAGTTGCATTCGAATAGGCGCTTGTTTTGATATACCAACTATATATATATATGCCTCACCTGAGACAGGGAAAAATCATGCTTTTTTGAAAAAGAGTACCATCTGTTGGACGTAAGAGCGGCACACGCTGTAATCTCCCAAAGTTCTTCACCGATTGCTTTGAATTTCTGACACAAAGTTCCATTCGAATGTGCGCATGTTTTCATATACCTACTATATAGATGCCACACATGTGACAAATAATTTTTTTTTCAAAAACAGTGCCATCTGATGCACGTAATAGCAACACACACGCAATACTAAAAAATTTACGAATTTCATTTCAATGTTTCCGATTGCATTGATAAATTTAATATTCATACATTTCCATTTATTTTAATTTTTATTGAATTATTTTGTGTGACATTGTGTTGTAATTGAGCTGTGTTTTTTACCCTACCATTTATTTCATAAGTATAAGTATAGACACCACACCTGAGACAGGTAAAAACATGATTTAAAAAAAAAGTGCCAATCTGTTGCATGTAAAAGCAACTCACGCTATACTAAATATGTTTTGATTTCATTTCAATGTTTCTGATTTCATTGATAAATTGAACTTTCATAGATTTCAAATTATTCTCATTTTGATTTTATTATTTTGTGTGACATTGCGTTGGAATTCAGCATTGTAGTTTTCCATCTTGTTCATTTCGTGAGTATAGTTTATTTTGTTATTTTTTCATTGTTATTCACTTCGTTTTTTAATTGTTTTTCTTATATTTCAGTGATGGAACATCAGATCATTTGATGTTCCCAATATTCTGATGGGAACATCAGATCATTTGGGAATGCATCGGACGAATGAGTGGGAAATGGTGGGGAGGACGAGGGGGACGAAAGTGGGGGATGGTGGGGAGGATGAGGGGGACGGAAGTGGGGGATGGTTGGGGAAGACGTGGGGACAGGGGAAGGGGTACAGGTGGAGAGGACGAAGATACGGGGGAGTTGGGGATGGTGGGGACGAGAGGAGTGGGGAATGGAGATTGGTGAAGGGGGGGAGGACAAGGGGACAGGGAAGTGGGGAGGACAGGGGGATGGGGGAGGGGAGGAATGATAGGGAGGACGAGAGAAAGGAGGAGTGGGAGATGGTGGAGAGGATGAGGGGGACGGTGTAGTTTGGAGTGGTTAGAAGGACAAGACGGTGGAGTTGTGGATGGTGGGGAGGACATAGGGATGGGGGAAGAAGGAAATGATGGAGAGGACAAGGGGGCGGGGGAGTGGGGAATAGTTGGGAGAACGAGGGGACGAGGGAGTCAGGAATGGTTGGGAGGACGAGGGGACGAGGGAGGGGGGAATGATGGGGAGAACTGGGAGACAGTGGGAGGGTTGCTGTTGCTTTTACAATGTACATGCATTGTTGAGTCAAAGCAATGAGTGGCTGGGTACTGCTAGTATATAAATAAAAATATAAATGTTCTTTATTAAAAATCGTTAATCTCCGAAAGTTCTTCACCGATTGCTTTTAAATATTCACACAATGTTCCATTCATCCAAGAATGTATATATACACATGTCACGTCTGTAACGGGAAAAACATGCTTTTTTGAAAAACTGTGGTTCTCAAGAGAGGGAAATCTACAAAACCGCATGTCCGATTGCTGTGAATTTTTAACACAATGTTGCATTCGAATAGATTTGTTTTATTATATGCCATCTATATACATGCCTCACCTGCTGTGACAGGAACTATTTTTTTTAAACAGGACCATCTCTTGGATATAAGAGAAACACACCATGTAATCTTTACAAGTTCTTTGCCGATTTTTTTTTAATTTTGAGACAATGTTCCATTCGAATACAAGCATGTTTTTATATACATACTATATAGATACCACACCTGTGACACGTTAAAACATTCTTTATTTGAAAAATAGCACGATTTGTTGCATGTAAGAGCAACAAACGCTATACTAAATATGTTATGATTCCATTTCAATGTTTTGGATTTCATTGATAAATTAAATTTTCATCGATTTTGATATATTTACATTTTGATTTAATTATTATGTGTGACATTGCATTTGAATTGAGCTGTGTTGCTTACCACACTGTTCATTTCGTAAGTATAAGTATAGATGACACACCTGATACAGGTAAAAACATTCCTTTTTTAGGAAACAACAAAATCTGTTGCACGTAGGAGCAACACATGCTATACTAAATATGTTACAATTCCATTTCAATGTTTCCGATAGCACTAACAAAATGATTTTTCATAGATTTTGAATTATCTTCATTTTGATTTAATTATTTTGTGTGACATTGCATTGTAATTGAGCTGTGTTGTTTAAAATACTGTTCATACCTGTGACAGGTAAAAACATGGTTTAAAAAAAACAGCCCTACCTGTTGTACGTAGGAGCAACAAACGCGATACTAAATATGTTACGATTCCATTTCAATGTTTCCGATTTTATTGTTAAATGGAATATTCATAGATTTCGAAATATTTTCATTTTGGTTTAATTATTTTGTGTGATATTGATTTAGAATTGAGCTGTGTTGATTACCATACCGTTCATTTCGTGAGTATAGTTTATTTTTATTTTTTTTCATTGGTTTTAATTCGTTTTTTAACAGTTTTTCTTATATTTCAGTGATAGGAACATTAGATCATTTGATGTTCCCAGTTTTCTGATAGGAACATCAGATCATTTGGGACGAGGGAGTGGGGAATGGTGCGAAGGACGAGGGGACAGGTGAGGTGTGTGGGGTTGGTGAGACGGACGAGGAGAATGGGGAGGGCGTAATGGTAGGGAGGATGAGAGGACGGGGGATTTGGAGATGGTGGAGACGAGGGGACCGGGAATGGAGAATGGTGGGGAGGACAAGAGGAAAGGAGAGTGGGGATGGTGGGGGAGTTATATTGAGTTATCTTGAGATGATTTCGGAGCTTTTTAGTGTCCCCGCGACCCGGTCCTCGACCAGGCCTCCACCCCAAGGAAGCAGCCTGTGACAGCTGACTAACACCCAGGTACCTATTTTACTGCTAGGTAACAGGGGCATAGGGTGAAAGAAACTCTGCCCATTGTTTCTCGCCGGCGCCTGGGATCGAACCCAGGACCACAGGATCACAAGTCCTGCGTGCTGTACACTCGGCCGACCAGGGAGGACAAGGGGACGAGGCAGGGAGGGGGGAATGGTAGGGAGGACTAGGGGAGAGGGGATGGTGGGGAGGACAAAGGGGCGGGGAAAGGGGGAATGGTGGGGAGGACGAAACGACGGGGAAGTGGGGAATGGTTGGGGGGACAGGGAAATGAGGAAGGGTAGGGAGGACGAAGGGATGGGGGGAGGGGGGAATAGTGAGGAAGAATTGGAGACAGGGAAGGTTGCTGTGGCTCAGCAACACAACGCGTGGCTGGCCGGGTACAGCTAGTATATACATATAATATAATGAGTGAAATGTAAAGATGTAACAGTGAGGTGTTCTTCAGGTACACCTACGTCATGCCCGCCGATGGCTCCTGGGGCATCATGAGAGAGGACGGGTCCTTCTCTGGCATGATGGGCCTGATGACCTCAGGGGTAAGATGACTACAGGTGTTAGATGACTACAGGTGTATGATGACCACAGGTGTAAGATGACTACAGGTGTAAGATGACCACAGGTGTGCGATGACTACAGGTGTAAGATGACCACAAGTGTGAGATGACCACAAGTGTATGATGACTACAGGTGTTAGATGACTACAGGTGCAAGATGACCACAGGGGTAAGATGACTACAGGTGTTAGATGACTACAGGTGTTAGATGACTACAGGTGCAAGATGATCACAGGTGTAAGATGACTACAGGTGTAAGATGACTACAGGTGTGAGATGACCACAGGTGTTAGATGACTACAGGTGCAAGATGACCACAGGTGCAAGATGACCACAGGTGTGAGATGACCACAGGTGTGAGATGACCACAGGGGTAAGATGACTACAGGTGCAAGATGACTACAGGTGCAAGATGACCACAGGTGTGAGATGACCACAGGTGTAAGATGACCACAGGGTAAGATGACTACAGGTGCAAGATGACTACAGGTGCAAGATGACCACAGGTGTAAGATGACCACAGGGGTAAGATGACTACAGGTGTTAGATGAATACAGGTGTTAGATGACTACAGGTGCAAGATGACCACAGGTGTAAGATGACTACAGGTGTAAGATGACCACAGGGGTAAGATGACCACAGGGGTAAGATGACGACAGGTGTGAGATGACCACAGGTGTTAGATGACTACAGGTGCAAGATGACCACAGGTGTAAGATGACCACAGGTGTGAGATGACCACAAGTGTAAGATGACCACAGGTGTAAGATGACCACAGGTGTAAGATGACCACAGGTGTGAGAAAACTACAGATGTAAGGTTACCACAGGTGTAAGATGACCACAAGTGTAAGATGACCACAGGTGTAAGATGACCACAGGTGTAAGATGACCACAGGTGTAAGATGACCACAAGTGTGAGATAACTACAGATGTAAGATAACCACAGGTGTAAGATGACCACAGGTGTAAGATGACCACAGGTGTAACATGACCTCAGGTGTAAGATGACCACAAGTGTGAGATAACTACAGATGTAAGATAACCACAGGTGTAAGATGACCACAGGTGTAAGATGACCACAGGTGTAAGATGACCACAGGTGTAAGATGACCACAGGTGTAAGATGACCACAAGTGTGAGATAACTACAGATGTAAGATAACCACAGGTGTAAGATGACCACAGGTGTAAGATGACCACAGGTGTAAGATGACCACAGGTGTAAGATGACCACAGGTGTAAGATGACCACAAGTGTGAGATAACTACAGATGTAAGATAACCACAGGTGTAAGATGACCACAGGTGTAAGATGACCACAGGTGTAAGATGACCACAGGTGTAAGATGACCACAGGTGTAAGATGACCACAGGTGTGAGAAAACTACAGATGTAAGATAACTACAGATGTAAGATAACCACAGGTGTAAGATGACCACAGGTGTAAGATAACCACAGATGTAAGATAACTACAGATGTAAGATAACCACAGGTGTAAGATGACCACAGGTGTAATATGACCACAGGTGTAAGATGACCACAGGTGTAAGATGACCACAGGTGTAAGATGACCACAGGTGTGAGAAAACTACAGATGTAAGATAACTACAGATGTAAGATAACCACAGGTGTAAGATGACCACAGGTGTAAGATAACTACAGATGTAAGATAACTACAGATGTAAGATAACCACAGGTGTAAGATGACCACAGGTGTAATATGACCACAGGTGTAAGATGACCACAGGTGTAAGATAACTACAGATGTAAGATAACCACAGGTGTAAAATGACCACAGGGGTAAGATAACCACATGTGTAAGATGACCACAGATGGAAGATGACCACAGGGGTAAGATGACCACAGGTGTAAGATAACCACAGGTGTAAAATGACCACAGGTGTAATATGACCACAGGTGTAAGATGACCACAGGTGTAAGATGACCACAGGTGAGAGATAACTACAGATGTAAGATAACTACAGATGTAAGATAACCACAGGTGTACGATGACCACAGGTGTAAGATGACCACAGGTGTAAGATGACCACAGGTGTAAGATGACCACAGGTGTAAGATGACTACAGGTGTAAGATGACCACAGGTGTGAGATAACTACAGATGTAAGATGACCACAGGTGAAAGATGACCACAGGTGTGAGATAACTACAGAGGTAAGATAACCACAGGTGTAAGATGACCACAGGTGTAAGATGACCACAGGTGGAAGATGACCACAGGTGAGAGATAACCACAGGTGTAAGATGACCACAGGTGTAAGATGACCACAGGTGGAAGATGACCACAGGTGTAAGATGACCACAGGTGTGAGATAACTACAGAGGTAAGATAACCACAGGTGTAAATTAATGACCACAGGTGTAATATGACCACAGGTTTGAGATAACTACAGATGTAAGATGACCACAGGTGTAAGATGACCACAGGTGTGAGATAACTACAGATGTAAGATGACCACAGGTGTAAGATGACCACAGGTGTAAGATGACCACAGGTGTAAGATGACCACAGGTGAGAGATAACTACAGATGTAAGATAACTACGGATGTAAGATAACCACAGGTGTACGATGACCACAGGTGTAAGATGACCACAGGTGTAAGATGACCACAGGTGTGAGATAACTACAGAGGTAAGATAACCACAGGTGTAAAATGACCACAGGTGTAATATGACCACAGGTGTGAGATAACTACAGATGTAAGATGACCACAGGTGTAAGATGACCACAGGTGTAAGATGACCACAGGTGTAAGATGACCACAGGTGTAAGATAACTACAGAGGTAAGATAACCACAGGTGTAAGATAACCACAGGTGTAAGATGACCACAGGTGTAAGATGACCACAGGTGTAAGATGACCACAGGTGTAAGATGACCACAGGTGTGAGATAACTACAGGTGTAAGATGACCACAGGGGTAAGATAACCACAGGTGTAAGATGACCACAGGTGTGAGAAAACTACAGGTGTAAGATGACCACAGGGGTAAGATAACCACAGGTGTAAGATGACCACAGGTGTGAGATAACTACACATGTAAGATGACCACAGGTGTAAGATGACCACAGGTGTGAGATAACTACAGGTGTAAGATGACCACAGGGGTAAGATAACCACAGGTGTACGATGACAACAGGTGAGAGATAACTACAGGTGTAAGATGACCACAGGGGTAAGATAACCACAGGTGTAAGATGACCACAGGTGTAAGATAAGCACAGGTGTAAGATGACCACAGGTGTGAGATAACTACAGGTGTAAGATGACCACAGGTGTGAGGTAACTACAGATGTAAGATGACCACAGGTGTAAGATGACCACAGGTGTAAGATGACCACAGGTGTAAGATGACCACAGGTGTAAGATGACCACAGGTGAGAGATAACTACCGATGTAAGATAACTACAGATGTAAGATAACTACAGGTGTACGATGACCACAGGTGTAAGATGACCACAGGTGTAAGATGACCACAGGTGTAAGATGACCACAGGTGTAAGATGACCACAGGTGTGAGATAACTACAGAGGTAAGATAACCACAGGTGTAAGATGACCACAGGTGTAAGATGACCACAGGTGTAAGATGACTACAGGTGTAAGATGACCACAGGTGGAAGATGACCACAGGTGTGAGATAACTACAGAGGTAAGATAACCACAGGTGTAAGATGACCACAGGTGTACGATGACCACAGGTATAAGATGACCACAGGTGTAAGATGACCACAGGTGTAAGATGACCACAGGGGTAAGATGACTACAGGTGTTAGATGAATACAGGTGTTAGATGACTACAGGTGCAAGATGACCACAGGTGTAAGATGACTACAGGTGTAAGATGACCACAGGGGTAAGATGACCACAGGGGTAAGATGACGACAGGTGTGAGATGACCACAGGTGTTAGATGACTACAGGTGCAAGATGACCACAGGTGTAAGATGACCACAGGTGTGAGATGACCACAAGTGTAAGATGACCACAGGTGTAAGATGACCACAGGTGTAAGATGACCACAGGTGTGAGAAAACTACAGATGTAAGGTTACCACAGGTGTAAGATGACCACAAGTGTAAGATGACCACAGGTGTAAGATGACCACAGGTGTAAGATGACCACAGGTATAAGATGACCACAAGTGTGAGATAACTACAGATGTAAGATAACCACAGGTGTAAGATGACCACAGGTGTAAGATGACCACAGGTGTAACATGACCTCAGGTGTAAGATGACCACAAGTGTGAGATAACTACAGATGTTAGATAACCACAGGTGTAAGATGACCACAGGTGTAAGATGACCACAGGTGTAAGATGACCACAGGTGTAAGATGACCACAGGTGTAAGATGACCTCAAGTGTGAGATAACTACAGATGTAAGATAACCACAGGTGTAAGATGACCACAGGTGTAAGATGACCACAGGTGTAAGATGACCACAGGTGTAAGATGACCACAGGTGTAAGATGACCACAAGTGTGAGATAACTACAGATGTAAGATAACCACAGGTGTAAGATGACCACAGGTGTAAGATGACCACAGGTGTAAGATGACCACAGGTGTAAGATGACCACAGGTGTAAGATGACCACAGGTGTAAGATGACCACAGGTGTGAGAAAACTACAGATGTAAGATAACTACAGATGTAAGATAACCACAGGTGTAAGATGACCACAGGTGTAAGATAACTACAGATGTAAGATAACTACAGATGTAAGATAACCACAGGTGTAAGATGACCACAGGTGTAATATGACCACAGGTGTAAGATGACCACAGGTGTAAGATGACCACAGGTGTAAGATGACCATAGGTGTGAGAAAACTACAGATGTAAGATAACTACAGATGTAAGATAACCACAGGTGTAAGATGACCACAGGTGTAAGATAACTACAGATGTAAGATAACTACAGATGTAAGATAACCACAGGTGTAAGATGACCACAGGT